CTTCATATGCCCTCTTTTTACCCTGATCACTCTAGAACAGGGTAAATCTGGACTCATCAGACCACATGACCTACTTCCATTGCTCCAGAGTCCAATCTTTATGCTTGCTAGCAAATTGAAGCCTTTTTTTCCGGTAAGCCTCACTGATTAGTGGTTTTCTTAAGGCTACACAGCTGTTCAGTCCCAATCCCTTGAATTCCCTTCGCATTGTGCGTGTGGAAATGCTCTTACGTTCACTATTAAACATAGCCCTGAGTTCTACTGTTGTTTTTCTACGATTTGATTTCACCAAACATTTAAGAATTTTTTCCGACCACATTTCTTCCACGAAGATAATGGTTCCTCACTATCATTCCAGTTTTTAATAATGCGTTGGACAGTTCTTAACCCAATTTTAGTAGTTTCTTCAATCTCCTTTGATGTTTTCTCTGCTTGATGCATGCCAATGATTTGACCCTTCTCAAACAGACTAACATCTTTTCCACGACAACGGGATGTGTCTTTCGACATGGTTGTTTAAGAAATGAGAAGCTACTTGTTGCATCAGTTTGGGGTTAAATAACTTGTTGTCAGCTGAAAGATAATCGCCCATGCAGTAACTATCCAATAGGAGACTCTTACCTATTTGCTTAGTTAAATCCAGGTGGCAACTTTTTTTTTGGCCAGGCAGTGTATATTGTCATTATACCATTGGTAAAACAAGAAATCTAATGGTGGCTCAAGACTATTGCACAGTACCGTATATTCCAGCTTTGGACCAGACTTGATACATTTAGTGATATGATGTAAAAACAAAACCAACAGGCATTTGCTGCCCACTTGTTATAATGCACCAGTCCATGTCCATTGCTCATTTTTAGAAACACCAATCTCTGGGTCATGTACTGTAGTTCTGTCCTTAATTTCCCGTTGCTTTGTGCGTGTGTGTGCCTTGGACTGTATTAACACGGTTTGGGTCTTTCTTCCTGCAGGTAATTTGTCCTATGGCATACTGTAGCATTGTTTACTGGATGACGGGTCAACCTCCTGAAGCTACACGTTTTCTTCTTTTCTCTGCTCTTGCAACGTCAACTGCCCTTGTAGCTCAATCACTGGGACTCCTCATCGGAGCTGCATCAAACTCCTTACAAGTAAGTTTAAAATAATTTTATTACCGTACATTTGTTGTACTCTTGAGGAAGCTATAGTGTGCAACCTGTGTTCCTGTAATTCATACACTGTTACTTTTTGTCTTTTTGCTAAGGTTGCAACTTTCGTTGGCCCGGTGACTGCAATCCCTGTCTTACTCTTCTCAGGCTTTTTTGTCAGCTTTAAAACTATCCCAACGTATCTACAGTGGAGCTCCTACATCTCGTATGTCAGGTCAGAGAGACAACCATGCAAGATAATATGTACAGAGTAAAATATCACTTGTTATAGGTTGGAGGTTCCCAATTCACAAAATGTTTCAAGACACTAAAACTTAAGACAAGCATCCTGGGGAATAAATGCAAGAGATTGAAATAGCACAAAAAATCATTATAAAAGCAGGAGACTGAAATAGCACAGAAAATCATTATTTATTTAAATATTGATTCTAAAGTCCTAGAAGTTATTTCAAAGTACAAAAACATACAGCTAAGAGAGCATTATTTACTGAAGACAAAATTTTCCAAAGCGACATTAAAAAACATTAATTGGAACCAAATTACCACAAATTACGATCTCTGAATTGATCTGAATTAACTCCATGAAAACATTCACATTTGAAACTGATGAACAAATGTGCATTCAATTTGTCTTTATTATTTACCAAAAGTGTTATTTCTTACTATGTTCATATATATTTTTTGTAATTTGCAATTTGTAGGCATATTTGAAGCTCAGGAAATAGCCCCAAACCATAGAAAATATAAAAAATGAAATATATTTCAAAACTGCTTTATTTTTACCTTGTTCCCTGTGTTTGATCAGATACGGCTTTGAAGGAGTGATTCTTGCAATCTATGGCATGGACCGTGCTCCCTTACAATGCCGGGAGCCACCCTGTACTTTCCTTCTACCCCAACAAGTACTACAAGAGCTTGACGTAGAAGAAGCCAAACTGTATGTGGACTTTTTGGTGCTTGGAGGATTTTTCATTGGACTACGCCTACTTGCATACCTTGTACTGCGCTACCGTGTCAAATCTGAGAGGTAGAGTCTGAAAAAAGAACCATAGAAGGCACTGCGTATTAGAGATGTAACTGCAAAACGTATTCCAAACTGTACTGATGGAGGTAAAACCTAGATATAAAACCCACAAGAAATCATCAAGAAGAGGTCCACATCCTTGAGTGTCAGATTCTGCTTTGCTTCATCTAATTACTTTATTTTAGTTATTTTTTTCCTTTATTTGTAAACTTCTATCGTGGTCTTTTTTTTCATCTTTATTTTCTTCCTGTCAATTCCCTTCTTCAATTTCCTTCAAGGTATTTAAACACCACTCATACTTTCTATAATTTGCTATTTTTTTCTTACTCTATCTTCTGTTTTTGCATACATAATCCCAGAACAATGCAATTTATCACCAATGGATGTTATAAGTTAAAAAAAAAAAAAATGTTCCTGCTTCTATATTGTATCTGCTAAAAACATTTAAAATGTACGTCAATGTGGACCAAAGCTATAGTCTCATGTTGCCAAGGGATGCAGGAAAGCTAATTCTACTAACCATTGGATATTTTCTTTCAAGAGTGCTTTGTATGGTATTCTACAGGAACAAAACTTTCCTATAAAACTTCCAGTAGAACTTTTGAGAAGTGGAGCACATGGAAATACAGTACTTGAATAATTCATCCAGTATTGAAGCCGGATCCATCCAAATATGTGATGGAACGTACAGATGTTTCACTCAAGAAATTACAAAGCTTCCCTTAATATTGCTGCTAATGATGGCCATCAAATCCTTGCACCCTTGCTAGGAATGACTGCTGTCCCGCCCCACAGGAGCTCTGGCTAAGCTACAACTTTTGCTAAAGCCATATTTAAATGTTAAAGCATTTCAAAGTTACTGGTTGTCTTCTCGCTAGTTGATAAAACAGGGTGTTATTTATTATTTTATTTGCAAATGCTTCCATTTTTCTAGATTTATCACTGCACTGATGTCAGATGCCTGCCGTTCATAGTTGTGTTTTATTTTTATTTTGCCTGTTGGTGTGAATTAGCTCCCTTGATGGGAGAAAAATATGTTTTGACTATAAGAAAGTAGATAGAGATATAGCAATTCGTCTAAAATATTAAAGGAAAAAAATATATTTTACAAACGCTAAAGCATGAGTTCAAGCATATCACTGGTGCTGTGAGAGAGAATGCTTTTTATTGTAGGTTTTTGCATCCCCATTCATCCATTTTGTGATGGGAACAATACTACCACTAGAGGGAGACAGTTAATTTTCATAGTACCTGAGAAAAAGAAACGGGTGGTCATATAAACAGATAACGATTTTATCGACAGTGAAGGAGAACACTGCTGTACTGAACATCTGTTGCACCCTATCTTTAAAACAAGTAGACATCCCGAAGCGTCCCTTTTGCCATCTTGTGGATGCCTTGTCTTGTCAACTGAATAATGAGTTGAGGGGGAGGAAACAAGAGGCCTCATTCATATTTAGGCCTCAAAACCACTTGCCTCCTCCACAGCTTAAACAGGATTAAAAATGTTTCAATATATTAAATAAAACTATACCTACACATCAAAGAGTTTTTGCCTATTTAATTAAAAATCATATTTATGCACGCTGTTCATATATATTTTTGAATATTTGGGATATGTCTATTAATATTTTCACAGACATACACAATAGAGAAGTTTAATTAGTAGCTTTATTAATACAGTTATCATTGTAATAGCTTGTTCACTGGACTATCAGAATCATCCTCGATCCTCGATCATCCTGTGATTGCCTCCTGTCCCAATTTGACTGGAACCATCATAGAATAGAGGGGTACATTATGTTAGAGTTTCAATTGTTGGGAGTCCCAGTGAAAGAACTAGTTGGGAGCAAATCAAAAGTCCGCTCCTGACCTGCATATTGTGAAAGGCAGCAGCCCACAAGGAAGCATGCTGCTTATGTATGGAGGACAGATGGTCATGTGTTCCTGGAGGACCTTCCTCACATCTGAGGGAACATATATAACTGGTGGCTCAGACCAATTCATTAGAGAAGTATCCGTACTGTGTGGGAACACAGTACAGTATGTGTATGGAGACAAGCAGACACAAAGTGTGTGATGTGGCTGAGCCAGACAGAACTGTCGAGAGACACAGTTGAGAGAAGGGATGGATGACAGACAGACAGTGGGGGAGTGGGATGAGTAAGAGAGACAAATGGGAATGTAGGGAAGAGAGACACAAATTGGAGGGAGAGGAGAAGATACAGAAATAGGAGTTTATAGACAAACCTGGAAAACAAAATACAGTTCTTGATTGTAAAATATATCCTTGCATTTACACACATACTACACCTAATCTTCATTTACAAACACATTTCACGCAAATGCATAATTTTTTCACACACACACAGACACCTCACACAATTATAATACACACTTTGCAGAACTACTTCACAACACTGACACTCAATGAAAATACACACCTGCATTCACACACAAAGACTACTTAAAAAAACAACAACCTATTCACACACACACTTTCATTGTAAAAAATGTCCTTGCATTCATACACTGAAACTACATATATTTGTGTTCAGGGCACAGATGCCATAATGACATTATATAACTTATACAATATAACCAGATAGAAAATATGAACAGTCGGTTGTGGTGTGCCGAAACCGACATTGCTGTAGGCCTGTAATAAAAGAGGGCAAAAATTAGTATACCAAACAAGATTTATTCAGCCCAAAATTTGACAATCATATAGCATCTCACATGTTCATGTTACAAAAAGCCTTGCGTATTTCCTGTATTGGATGGGGTATTTATCTGGTATATGCTGATGAATCCCACCGTCCCAATGTCTTGATAATATAACCGGTATGTTTCTACTGGAAGCAGTGGTGGCTGCTCCAATGCAGAAGGGGTGTCATGAGTTGTGGGATGGATTGAGAGCTAATATTGCCAGTAATACTCTAATATAGAGCATTACTGGCAATGAATTTAGAAGTGGTGAGAGCATTGCCAGGTAAAGTAAATAAAGATTGGTCAGAGGAACAATTGTTAGAAATTTATCTAGTACCTGTACAGGGCACCAGTTGTTGCCGGGAGGGTAATAGGGGATCTTTACCAGATGATTTTTTTGGTGTGGTTTTAGTGTGGTTGAGGGATAGTATGTAGTGATCTTGTATTTTAACAATCTCTTAATGCTGTTTTGGGATGTGATGTTTGTAGTGGTAAACTCTCCGGGTCTAAGGAACCCATAGAAAGCTAAGTAGATGGCGGTTTTAATGACATGATTAGTGTTTGATTCGAAAGGGGTTGTATCTATAATGTCTGATAGTGATTGGAATAGTTGACCATGTATATGTGATCTAGAAGGTGGTGGTGTAAGGTTTGAATTCTTAATGCCTTTTAGTATGGTTTTGATTTGATAAGAAGACAGGAAACAGTGATTGTTTGGCCAATGTGTAAGTATATGGTGTTGTATCCCTGTCAGATATAATTTAATGGTGTTCTAAGATAATTTTAACTTAAGATGGCAAAAAGAAGCAAAAGCTACAATCGTTTAAATTTAATATTTATTGACAACCTGAAAGTCAAACAAAAATCAATTATAAACACAGAATGCCCTATTGTATACTATGCCTAGTATTGTAAGATTAAGCCAATTGCAAAAGGAACCTGCCATGAGTTAACAGATCTCCATATCCATGACAGAGCCGGGGTAGCCACCAAGGCTACCATCGGTAAAGTTTTGTGGAATTCCTGAAATTGGAGCGAGATAAATGATCAGTCGCTATGTTTTGCATGCCAAAAATAAATTATAGTTAGCAGCCAGCCAAGTCAACTTCCTTAGAAAGCTCATGATCATTAGAGCTTTAGAATGACCCTTGTTAATTATGTGGCAGGTGGAAGTTGTCAGAAAAACATCTCACCGCCTGACCCGACCTTGTTGCTACCCACGCTTCTGCAGCAGTTACAGTAGGATAGAGCTTGAACAGGGCAGAATTGGTAGAAAAACCTGGTACATTGTGCACTTCCGTAGGCCAAACCCCCCCATAGCCAATCACTGCCAAATTTAGCAGCAAAGCCTGAGGTAGCAGCAACGTCTGTAAAAATAGTGAGGGAATTGGAGATAAGTAAAGGGATAAACATGCTTTTCCCATTCCAGCTCTCGAGAAATTCCTGTCACGTGCATAAATCCGAAGTAGCCGGAACGTCCAGTGAAATACGGGAAATATCGGACTGAAAGCGGGGAAACAGATTAAGCAGTCTAGATATAAAAGCCCGGCCCTGCGGAATAAGCTTCATGGCAAAGTTAGGGGAGCCTAGAAGGGACTGTAATTCTGTACAAGAGAAAGATATATATTGATGCTGCATAAAATGCAATCAATCTTCCCTCTAGGCAAGCTGGCTTGCATATTTACAGAATCTAACGTGGGGGAGACGGGAACCCCCAGGTATTGGAAAAGCTGTATTGTGGCACTCAGGCTACTGGGTGGAAATAAGTTACCCTCAATAGTCAAGAAGTCATCCAAATAGTGAATAACTGTGTGGCATCTACAGACGTTGAGCAGTAGCCAGCATAAGATCTCAGTTAAAATATCAAAAAATCCTGGGACTACTTTTAGCACCAAAAGTGAGACAAGTGAAAAAAATTGTAAGAACCCTGCCACTTAACACTGTGTAGATGCCACAAAGAAGGATAGATTGGGAGCAGCTTGAAGGCGTTAATGATGTCAGTCTTGCTGAGCCATGCCCCTGTCCCTGCAGACAGAATGGCGTCAATGGCGTTATCTATGGTGGCATACTAAAGGGAGAATTCCTCCGAAGGAATGTGAGAGTTCAGACTAGGTATTGTGGATGAGTGAGGAGCAGAGAGGTCGACAATCAACCTTTGCCTGGCTGAATTTTTACCAGAGACCACTTCTATAGGGTTAGTTCTCCATACTGAGAAAGGCGAGGAGCGGGTCAAGTAGGAACCCTTGATCTAATTCAATCTGTAACAGAGCATTGACGGCTATTGGATTGGAAAGGACAGCCAGCAGGTTCTTGCATTCTACAATGCCGGATGGCATTTAAATGATACCCGTATAGAACCCTTCTGGGAACCCCGTTACCAAAAATTCCACCAAGTGGGGTGAGGAATGGTTATGCAATAATTTGGCGTAACAAGGCACATTGATTGAAGCCATGTAGGGTTTGGGAAATAATTTATTTGGACACATTTTCTTGGCATGTGCCCTAAAACAGAGAACACACATGCAACAACCAGCAAGCACTAAATCAATAGGAACCTGCATTAAAGTTATTGAAGTTCTGGGATTTACCTAGAAAAACAATATTACGCCCAAGCTTCTCCTTGATCACCTTCTCAGGTTTAGCAGAAGAGGTCGGGAAAGGGAAGGTAGCACCTAGTTCCGGGGTATTAGGACATAGGTTTGTGGCATGAGAGGAAAAAGAGGCATGAGAGGCAAAGTGCCTGCAAAACAGCTCCATGTCCAACTGGCTCCAGTCCATCTGAAAATTGAACTGAGCCAGAGCTGCAGACGCCTTCGCTGAGAATGATCTATGGTAATCATAAAATGATGTACCTCCATATTTATGCCCCAGATCTACCAGCTTGTGCAAATACAGATCGAATTCCTCTCTGCGCTTGGGATATACCGAGCGCACCACGTCCCTATAAATACCGAAGGCCAGGACGAACTCAGGAATGGACAACTTCCTATTCAACATGGGGTCCCTAGCCTTCAGCACAACAGACACATCGCCATAGGAGTACGTCTGTCACGTTTACATCCTCTCCTGTTCACGATGGTAGCGACGTCGACGTACATATAACGTCATGCAGAGGACGCGTGCGCACGTTTTGGGGTCATAGGCTGGATATGGCCAATCAGATTCACAAGAGGGATATTAAACTCACTCATTTCTTCTAATCATTGCCCTGTCGTGGTTTCCCTTTGCTGGTTATCTGAGAGTGTGTTCCTGATCGTGTTGCTTTGGTTATTGACTTTGGCTTCGTTCTGACTTCCCTGAATTCTGGTATTCCTGACTTTGGCTATTCCTTGCAACTGTGTTTCGTTCTGTGTTCCTGACCTCAGCTAGTATTATGACTATTCTCTGGTACGTTAAGTTCGGCCATTCTAAGGTCCGGTTAGACGTTATCATTATTCCTAGTGTGATACTAATACTGCGTGTTGGATTAATTGTGATTCTGACAACGTCTTGTTCTCAAGAATATCTTGGGAGGCAATCAGCAGCGAAACTAGATTGACATCCTTCCCCTCCAAAATATCCTTCTTAATATTAGCAGGCACCATGTGTGCTGCATTGATAATGTTAGGGTTCTGAAGTGGACCAATGAATTTACCAGTTAGGGTGCCGGAGAGACCAGTAGGTTTTGGAGTAACTAATCCAGATGGTGTCACTGACTTATCACCAGCATCCAAACGGTCCAGCCTATCGGTAATCTGTCCTAATGAGGACAATACCGACAATCAGACGGCCTGGAGATCGGATGACTGGGCACCACTGGGGCCTTCGCCAACTCCGGTGTTATCCGTGTTAGTGTTAAGCAATCAATAAAGTTCAGCCTTCCTGGCAGTGGCCGGGTAGGAAATGTTCCTATGCCTTTATTTGGCCAGGATCCTGGATATGGTCCAAGACCTGAGGGAAGACGGGCTAGCGATGTCCCCTCTGTGAGATGGAGTGATGGACCTTGCAGGAGTGCTGGGAATTGACAAATCCTCCATAGCTTCAGGCAGTTCAGACATGCTAGGATATGACAAAAACTTTTTAGAAACCAAGGTGATAATATCGTACTACAAAATGTGATAATTCCACCTAACACCAGTGATATAAAATAATAATTCAACTTAACTTATAGGACACAGCTTCCCAGGGTTACCTCCCAGGCGTTAACCACTCTCAACAAATGTGTCTATATACAAAATTTAGGGTTCTTGCTGATAGACCTATAGAAAAATAATAATAACATAGTGCAATATTGTCTAATAAACAGATAACGCAAATTTTCAGTTGCACTCAAGGGTAAAATTGTTTTAAACGCCTTAAAGGTGCCACCCTTGATTGTAGTAGGGGGCTTAGGTTCCTCCCACGGACTCCTCTCGGACTGGTCCTTGTAGTCACCACAAACGATTAACCAGAGAATTCTTCTGTAAAAGGACTTTTATTGTATAATAATTTAATTATTTAACAAATATATCTAAAAGATATAGTTGTCCAATATATTTTGTTCTCCCTTGAGAACTTCCTCAGGGACCCATATAATGCTTAAAACAAATTACAATCAATTACAGAAAAAATCTGTTACAAGGTAAATCACAGCCTAACTACCCATCTCCACAATTCTCTTTATATAGGGCTAACCCATAAGTCCTCATTGGTGGGTAGGTGGGCGTTCTTTCTTCCGTCCTCTGGATTTGTTGATTATCTGTTTGTGCCAGCTGTCCTGACTTCTCGTTAATTATTTTTCCCGCCGGTGATGAATGTCCGTCGGAATTATTGGGATGCACTTCCGAGCTTTCCACGTCTGGATAAAGCAAAAATGGCAGTCCGTTCCACACTCATGTGTATCTGAGACAATATACTCCCCCTGGCGTTCTCCCAAAGAGGAAAAAAATATTGTGTTCTAAAAGCAAACTTGCGTTAATGTTCTAATATAATAAAAATGTGCCACATACTGATAATGTCACTTTTATTTAGATTTAGTACATCTTCTTAGCAACTTGATAGTGTATACATTATAATAAACAGTTTCTTCTTTTTAGTTAGTGAATTACATCAACCCATTAATCATTTTAACTATATACATAACTAAAATAATAACAGTAAATCATTCTTAAAGTGCATAATATTTTGCAAGAGGAAGGAACAATACCTATTGGAATCAGATATTTGCCAAATCTAAATTATTTTATTAAAGGTGTATATACATTATTTTGTTGTGCTTTAATGTTTTATTGGTAGTAGTGTATTGCTTGCTCTAGCCGCACGTCCTTTCAGTCCTTTAAGATGGATTGTGAGGTGTTGTTTTCTTTAAAGCCTCGAACATATGCCACAGAATTCATCAAGGTCCGAGCGGCTATCAACCTGTTGTCTGGACGCATCAAAGTATGGGCTCACCAAATGTTGCAGACAAAGAGTCCTGTCCTTGTCAGCTGGGAATCCTTCAGTAATGCTATGGACTCACAATGCAAGACCACTGTGACCAAGCCAGCTCCACGTACCAAAAAATCCCAGATTCTTTGTAACCAAGAAACCCAGTACCACCACTACACCCCAGTGATGTCTCCTTATGATCCTGTTCCTATGAAAACTCCTGAGATATCCTGTGTTCCACTCGACCCTGAGGAACCTATGCAATTAGGACTTGTTCACTGCAAAGTGACACCTGAGGAAAGAGACCGAAGGAGAAGCCATGGCCTATGTTACTACTGTGGAGAAAGAGGGCATTTCATCACACTTTGCCCTGTTCATCCTCCTAGACCTCCAGCTCTCCGACTGGGTACTACTTTCCTCCACCCTGTGTACACTGCATGCCAGCCCTGTCCCCGTCTTGTGACACAAAAGGGTACCCAAACTACTACAGTCAATGTTATCAGTGTCCCTCAAGAACCTGCAACCAGTACCCCTGTGGAATCTCCACCTCCTGCTCCAGAAACATCTTGACCTCTTCCTGATGACACTTCTGCTCAAGCAAGCACCATTACCACTTCCTGCCTTGCCAAAAAAGTTCTGCCACCTGACTGCCTCAAATGGCACAGTTGTATGCAAACAGGATCTAGAAATATTTGAAAAAGCATTGAAAGCTGCAAATACCTCCCCTGTGAGAACTACGAGAGCAAAGGTAGGTGCTGTGTTTCCCTCTAATCTGGAAGAAGGCCGTACGTTTGGCATGGATGCCTATGGAAGAACGTACCTTCTGCCAGATGATGTATTTGATCTCTCAGAGGAGGAAGGTACTTCTGATCTGGAAGGTAATGATAAGCAACCAAATCACACCCGGAGGGTGTTCTTGAAGGGGGGGTACTGTCACGGTTCTCGCCGCAGCAAACAGACGGCCAGACGTGGTCACCCATGGAGTTCCCAACAAGGGACTTGAACCGGGAAACTTCGCAGTCCTGGTTCTGCTTCCTTCCTCTGAGCCACAGCAGCTTTTGTATTTCTATGTCATTCTGGTCCTGTTCATCCTGGCATGTCTATTTCTCTGGGGGCTGTAACTTGACTTTGGCTGTGCTTCACCTGACCTTGATCAGACATTAGCAGGGTATTTAAACTCAGCCTCGCCCTGTGATCAGCATCAAGTCTTTGATCCTGTTGTGAGCTTTGTACAAGTGTTCCTGTTGTTTGAGCTGCTACTTGTTATTGACCCCGGCTTCTGACTACGTTTACTCTGACCTCTGGCATCCCTTGACTTCGGCTACTCCTCGTTGTTCCTGTCTTCTGGCATCCTTTGACCTCGGCTATCCTTTGACGATCCTGCTGTTTGAGTCCTTGCCTGTCCTGCGACTTGGTACTTCATCCTGCACAGCCCCCGTCTTACCTGACCACCTTGGCCTGTGGCTATCTGCAAGGGTGAGCAACATATCTGCGCTACAGACTCCCAACCCAGGTAAGACCCTGACAGTTTGGTCCTTAAGGGGTTAACCAATAAACATATGTTTTATGAATTGTAAGTAACATGCGTGCGCACGAACAGAGGCCCGAACGGGTGAGGGCAAATTTACGAAAGCCAATTCATACGAACCAACAAGCAGTGTATTAATAAAACAAACTACCGAACCGTACGTTCGTATGTAAGTTAACGAAAGACCTCAAGAAAGGTATATGAAATAGAGGCAAGTATAAGAATAGTTTGCCTGTGATGATGCTGTGCGCCCGCAACTGGGTCGCGAAGGTCAACCAACTCACTGTTACAGCAGCTTCAGGATAGATAGCGGCAGAGATC